ATTAGCCAAGTTATACATATACAAATATATATCTATAACAATATATTGCAGTTTCGCTCAGTTTCACATAGAATCTGTAGTCGGCTTTCTCGCCAAAGTCAAAGCGTAGGCCAAAGACCCCAAAACTTTGGGCAACACGATAAACATCTGTCACAGGTAGAAAGAAAAGAAACAAGCGACACTATGATATGGCCTTACGTATATATATATATACGTATATATATATATATATATCGCTGCAGCTTACATCGTGTTTCGGCTGTCAAGGCAAAATCTCAACTGATATTTTTTTTTCTTGGTTTTATAAAAATGTGAAATTATATTAATGTAAAAATGTTAATCTGGGCGTAAATTAAGCGCACGCAGTTCATGTTAAAAAACTTCGAACGGGTTTTCTTGCTTAACTGAAGGTTGTCGGTCAACAGCAACAACCACAGCAACAACAACTGTACCACTGTGCATTGTATATGTTATGCATTATTATGTTTATTAAATTGCGTTGGCTTAGTTTCTATTTCATGCCTAAGAACCTTTTGTTGCGACTGCACAGCCTAAACAAAAGACTCAAGCAACGAACTTGATTTTGTAATTTACATGCCTACAATGCCCAACAGTTGTTGTTGCTGCCGTTGCTGTTCTATTCAGCTTGCTCAGTTTTTATTTCACATTCACGGACAACATTCAGCCATTGAGTGGCCTTTGTCGTTTAGCACATCACACACAGCCCAACACATATGCACTCTTAAAAGCAAAAGACCAGACATCCATACATATTTATAAGCCACACTCAAAMACTAATTAAATAACAACAACAACAACAGTACAGTATTATTATTATATTTTTTTTGTAAATTATTGCACAATTTAGCTGCCAATCAAATTGCTGGACGCTGGACGTGCTGTGCTTTTAATTAGCAAAGAATGACAAATTGTAGCTAAATGTCAAGGTTATATTCTAAACTGCAGTTGCCTCTTTATATATATATGTATATATCAAATCGATTTCAGTTCCACTTACCCCTTGCTTTGTGCAATGCGGCGTATGCGTAATGCTTAAATATCCAAGCCGCGTCTCAAGTTATCCAAAGCAGTTATGCGACAACTGTTAAATCAGCTTGTGTCCACGCCCACAATCATTCAACAATTTTATTATCTTAGCTGTTTCTGTGTATTTTTATTGAAATGTAATTTTATTTATTAACTTGTTTAATATCTATTGTGGGCTTTTGTATATTTATTTTTGYTTAGCACGCTGGGTCTATTTATTTATTTTAATTTTGTGATTTTTTTTTCCTTTTTTGAATTTTTCTATATTTTTCTAAATTTGCACAACACTCGTCGTTGATTTGGTAAAACGATTTCGCGATTGCTGCTGTGTCTCTCTGTTAGTATTTTTTGTTGTTTAGTATTTTTAGCTTTGTTGGGAAGCGCGCGCTAGAACCGTTCGCCCCAAGCTGCGTAATTCGACTGGCCAAGTAACGGTGCGGCCTGGCCACAAGACAGCGCCAAAAAATTACAAGCAAAAAAATTCACACACACGCAGAGGCGTCCAAAAACCAACAACAACACATAAAGCAACGCCGCCAAAAAGACGAGCCGCAACGAATCACTGAACCGAAGCATCGCGAGCGCATAGCCGAAGCTATGCTCAGACTCGACTTGCCAGTTAGCCAGCCAGAGCCGAACGCCAGGCGTCGCTGCAACTGCAGACTTTACGTGCGAAGCCGCGTGTAGAGCAGAGCTAGAGCCGAAAGCCAAGCTTAGGCCTGTTGCCTTGCCAGTAGCTCGCCAGCTGTTAGCAGCGTAGGTTGTGTTGCTGCTTGCGGCAAAGCCCGAATTTTAATTGCAGCGTGACGCACGCTCAATTCAACAGTTTTCGAGCAATTTATGCTAATGCTTTGCCAACACATACACACGCCCCCAACAACAACAACAATAAAGAACACCTTAATTTAACATAAATAATTCACAGCTTGTTCAATTGGCCCCGTAATTTGTATAAATTCTTGCTGCTCGCTTCATTTTTATTTTTGGGCGTGTGAATTACTCTTTGAATCATATTCAGCTACAGTTTGCGGATGTGCCGCTGATATATAGATTTCAGTTGCTGTTACTGTTTCTGTTTCTGTTTCTATTTCGATTGCGGGGTATTTCCCGGTCTGTCTAGAAATCCACTTAAGACTGCTGTATTTGGCAGCAGTTTTCTGCCTGTCTTTGTTTCTACTTTTATTTTTCTGTTTTTTTTTTTTTTTTTTTTTTTTTTTTA